GTCGATCCATTTTATCAATCGAATTCTTAGCCGTCCTCGTCTCATCTCCCATCTCGTTTTATTTTCCTACGCGAACGATCACGCTTCCTCGTTCCAGGGCTGCTTCGAGCGTATTCGAAGACGCGTCATCCATCACCGGTGGCCTCGATCGGGCAAAAACGGACGTGGCTATCCGAGCCGGGTACACGGTGGGCCCGAATTTTCGGGCTCAGTCGCATTAGGAGTCGCCGCGAAACGCCACCGATAAATTTCTCGGGAAACTGGAATGCCCGGGACCACCTCCACGCTTACGAGTTGCAACACTTCTGGCCGCGCTGATCGGACAAACTGTTGGCTGCCCGGTGATCTATAGCGTCGTCCCGGCCTCGCACGGTACAATAACCGAGGTGAGAGCGAGAGTGTAGAGGGATCTGGAGGTCTGTAATCAGGAGCCGAGCCGCTGGCAGACCCTGGCCGCCTTGGTCCTGGGCCTCCTTACCATTAACCTATCCGGTACCCCTTCTGTTCTGTTCAGTTCACTTCACTTCAGTTCCGTTCCGTCAACCTGACGTCATCGTGATTCCCGATCATTCTACAACCGTTGTATGAATCGTCCTGTAGATACATTGATTGAAGCACTTTAGCTGGTTGCAAAGTGAGCCTTGAATCGCGTTCGTTGGTTCGTGAATTAATGCGTTTCCTTTCCAGGCGATCGAGTCGATACTCGAGCAGGACAATCGGGCTAGCTCTTTGAATTAGACTACATTCTGCCCGGTGTCCGGTACCGTTTATCCAATGTCGTCGTAATTAGCGGTCATTGAGGGGGCCTCGTCCGACGGACAGACTGGTTATCGGGAATGATCGAACGGGTAATCAAGATGGTTGACCGATGGGTCTGGTTTTTGACGTTTACAGCTGTCAGACGGACCGATGATCAACGTCAAAGTTCCGCCGGTACGTTTTCATTTGTTACCCGAGGCTACCGATTTTCCTTCGACGATTATTATACAGTGCCCGCTCGAACCGTGTATTTTCCAACGATTTTCCGACGTGCACGCTTTCGATATAACCGCGATACGCACGAGATCGTCTGGATGTCCGGATCTAGTTAGTGGTCGTAGAACAGGCATCGAGTTTTAGACTGGTTCGTTGCTGTCCGAGCTGGCTTTAATTTGCAAGCCGGTACCGTCGCGTCGCGTCGTGTTCGCTACGGTTAGATATTAATGACACGTGGAAAATTGCACGGTATAGAACACCGTCGACTCCATCGTGCTCGCTCGGGGCCCCCCGTTACTTAGAAAACAAACCGCGATCGCCGGTGTTTCGACATCGGTGCTTACCATGTTAGACGTATCGGATTCTAATTGGTCCCCTGGCGCGAGTCGATATCTAAACTAATTCCCTCGAACCGTTCATTTAACTGTCACACCGATGATTGATAGAACTTACGGTGGCTCGGACAAACGTGTGACCCGTCTGTGAACCGATTAAACCGTTCAACCTATTAACGACCCGTAATCTATACCACCTTCGAGCTTCCATCTCGCGTAATATGCACCTGTTTCCCCCCCTTCTCTCTATCTTGTGAAACGTGTACGCCGTTCTCCTCGCCGATAATCAAATTATCCTTCGATCTCGGCGATCAAGGCGCATGGTACAATCTTACAGACTCGTTTGCGCTTCAAGGATGTTCAAGAAATTATGCGTTCGGCCAATTTGTCGGGGAATCGTAAGAATTTTCTTCGAAAACCAAAGTATCCGTAAAGATTCTACTCGAATTGGATTCGAGTTGGTCGGACAGAGAAGTTGCCGTGTACAAGATCGCACGGGATCGAGAGTTCGTTAGCGTCCGGACTGTTGAATATCATGGCCTTTTAGCCTGCAGGTGTCATTAGGGCGCGGACGGACGGACGGACGGACGCTGATTGGTCTCGGCCGATCGCCCTCGGGGACACCGGCTCATCAGCTGTCCCAATCGCGCGAACGACCAACCAGCTTTCCTCTAACGTCTGCGCCTATCCAGACGAACTATGCCGGAATCATCCTTTATCTTTCCCAAGTGAAAATTCGTGTCATTCAAGCAATTTCTAAATGGAAAATGACACAATCAAAGACTCGGATAATCGCGAAGCTACCGATCGTTAGAAACCGCTTATTGGTTACGCACGAGAATATTCTGCTGAAGAGATTCCCGTTTGACAGGCAGGACAGATGATTTTCCTGGCATTGATACGCCCACGTAATTCGGACTCATTTACTCGTTGACTCTCTTAACCCGCAGCCAGTCAGACGTCAGTCAACCGCGGCCCCGTAGCGGATCCATAATTTCGACGCGATCCGCTTCTCAACACGCGAGAAACGAGTTTCCTTAGGTCCGCGATGTAATTAGACAGTGTGGATCTAGGCTGGACCCATCAACGGGCCTCGTTAATACGATATCTACCGGCGGCTCGTTGCGCCCAAAATCTTTCGCCCCTTCCCTTTCATCCTCCTCCTCCCTTCGCTGTCGTTTTCTCGGCCCTTCTTTACTTCCTCCGCTCGTCCCTCAACAACCTGCCGTTTTTTAGATTCCTCGTAGACCCGCCGGGGTCTTTGATCCTCCTCGCTTTCATTTACGCGAAGAGGAGGACACCCTTCGGGACGAGACTAGCTCGCTAACCAGGGTTCGCGAGATTCTTCTGTTTTTTATTTTAAAAAATATTGTATTTAAAATATTCGAAGTTAACAGCGTAAGACACACGGCAGCTAGATGCAAAACGAGGAGTATTTAAATACCGTGGTATCGCACGCGAGCCATTACCTGTCGTTTCTGGATGGGAATTAAAGGATGCCGGTGGTAGCGGTCGCGTGACACGATTAATTACCCCCACGGATGATTGTTTAGTCTTCTTATCGATAGCCGGTTCGATAACGCGTAAAAGCTCGCGGGTGTAATGTGGAATTACAAACCGATCGTTTCTTTATTTTTCTCTCGCGATGTCATTCTCGTTTCGCGGACACGGCTCCGAGGACAATAAGCGAAATTACGCTGATCTACCGGTTGGATATCGGTTGAGTTATTGGTGTATCGGCTATATCGAGAAAATTGGCGGTGGTCATCATCGCCATTATGAATTCTTTATTTGGATGTTGCGGCGACTGAATTACAGGGCGGTACGGGCTACCTTGCTTACTGCTTCATATATGGACCCGTCGATTCCAGCGATGGCTATGAACAATTCTATCGTTTGAACAAGCGATTTATCTTGATCAGGGAGGGATACAAACTTTCTCGTCGGGCTTGTTTCCAAGCTACTCTACTGTGGATGGTAGTGGGGATGGTATTGAAAGGGTATATTTTCACGTGACAATAAATTGTGACCATTAATAATAAGAAATGATTTATCGGCGTGAAAATAAAAAATCGTGTTGTTATGACAATGGATTTTACCCTTCCTACTCGCGACTCGTGATCTTGAAGCAAGAACCTCCAAATGAATGAGAAACGCGTCGTTAACTCGGTGTGTCCATCGTCACCTCGTGCGGGGTTGGTCGAATAAATATTTATAAACGGTAGCAGGGTGTAACCGTAAAAAGCGGTATGCAAATCGGTCAACTTCTCTAAAAGGTTTCGACTGAACTGGCTAGAAAGTAGCCGGCTCTATCGCCGTCTCGTTTGCACGCGCATACTTTACGATGTTAAATATTTTTTTTTAAATTCCTTTCTACTTTTCATTTTTTCTACCTTCTTTTCCGCGTAATCGCAACGCGAAAGTCTATCTCGCGAAGAAGAACGTCTCGAGTGGCATCGTTGCACACGATGCGAACCGTGAAACATGTAATCAACGTGTATATGCTCATCGGCGCGTAATCACGCCTCTAATAGACATCCTAGATTCAGCCTCGATTAATCGATCAACGACGGCGGTAACGACGCGTGTTTTATATCGAGATAATGACGACAGGCTAATGACGGGCTCATTAACGAGACTCGATATAAAATGGTTCCGTTTAGCATCAGATATTCCGCTAACAGGAAGTAGGTCGGTAATACGCGGGCCCAGGTATCTGGACGTGTATCTTTCTCACCGGTTGAAGAAGCGGGAGAGATAGAAAGAGAGAAAGGAAGCCTGTTGCCAATGTCTGATTAGCTTTTCTATTTACGAGCCCGCGGCGAATGGCGCGGCTGGAATCGGTTGTTCTTGTTACAGACAATGTAGAAACTTTTACCGATGTTTTGTCTACTGTTACTGTAAAATCTACTTTCAATTTCACCCCCTTATCGAACATTCGATATTCGTATTTCCGTGGATCATCTGTCTATTTTCAACATCAAAGAGCCCTGAATATCGACGGTATTGAGAGCTGCATCTCTGGCTTATGACGAGTACCAGACTGCGCGAATGGAAAGGCGAAATGATTTCATCTTAATAAATTACAGCTCCGCGTAAACTTTGCGAACAGCTTCAAAAAGCTTCCGAGAAGGGTCGTGTATCGTGCTATTTTTAAACAATAATTCCTCTTCGTCCTCGATCACTATCTCAAGGCTTTATCCATCGACTTACCTTTCTTCTAAATATCTTCGAGCTGAAAGTTTCTTGCAACCACAGTCTCGATTCTGAATTTCTTTATTCTCAGCTTTTTCAAACTCTTTTTCCTCTATTCTATTGTTATTTACAATTCTCTCGAATAATTGTTTTCAAGGATTCAACTTTTACTTTGTAAATTGCAAAAAAGGCGTTCTGAAGCTTTCTTCAGGAGTTGGAGGAAGTTGACGGGAGCAAAGGATGACGTGGTTTTTTAATTTCAAGGTTTCATCCATCGACTTACCTTTCTCCCAGATATCCTGAATTTTCAATAATTTCTTACCATTCAGGTCTTTCAGTCTCTTTTTTCTTTTTATTCTCTTATTTCCAAGTATCGTTAGAATCATCAAACTTCAAACACACATTCTGAATTTTTTCTTCGTAACAATCGTGTCAGGAACGATATTTGGCGGAAGTTGATGGAAGCAGAGGATGTCGTAATTATTCCTGTTCGTATATTTTAAATGTCTCCATTTATTTCCACTCACTATACAACGCTCTACTATGTCCGTTCATACACACGCACTCTTGCCTTTCCTTTCACGCTTCACGTCTATCACCTCGTAAACCATTAAGCGCTGTACGCGATACGGATTTACATCTTAACGCGATCATAAAGCTCACTAATTAAACTGATGACCAGGTATATTGCAGTGTCCCATCTATCGTTTATAATTCTCTTCGATTTCGTTATTCTAATCATGTCCGACGACTCTATTTCGTTTATGCATAATATTATCCAGGGGGTTTTGGGAGGGGTGAGGGATGAACAACGTATATACAGCATATGTACACATACGAGAGGCCCGCAACCGGAAGCTTCTCTTCATAATTTATAAAGTTTAATATTTACGTAATAACTTATATATCCTCTATGCGTCCTCCGGATCTCTTTTGGCTTCACTCACCATTTTCTTCTCACAAATAAATACAATATGATACAATAGGTGTCCGCGAACAATCGCAGATGGTTGTCGTAGATCCGAGAAATATAGCCCAAAATTTTCGTCAAAACATTTATGCATTTTAGATTTTAGATTACGTAGAATACTATCTACTCGTTAATTTCTCTCACATTCGAATGACACACCTATACGTTTCTTTCGGACGTCCACGATGTAGACTCTCCTACGAAGCGTTGGTAAAAATGTTCGTAAAATATCTCGTACGATGGTTAATGAAACGATAAGGGTTCTAATATCGAGCCTACCATCCCTTACGAGAGCTGTGATTATTTGGCAGTCTTTAATTTGAAAAAAAAAAGAACCTTCGTACCATCGAAAAGACGCTATCAGCATCTTTGATTCATCGTTCTCAATCGTGTCTCCTAAGACCTCAACAGACCCTCAGTCTTTGTACGTCTTTTCGACGAGAATCGTTAAAAATCAATTCGATTTTGAGCCACCGAAAATCTCGTCGAGACCAGTCGAAGAAAGACGCTGTCTTTGTACTATACCTTCACCGGAACCGAAATCATTTTCACTATCCGAAACGCGTCGATCACATTTGCCAAAAATGTTCCTCGTAATGATCTACCAACTACTGATAAAGGAAACTACAAAATCCTACCCGTTAAGATGATCCACCTAGAAGAAAAGATCCTCCTAGCCTCTGCAGCCTCTCAACAGGTTCATTTTGCAAGCATACGATCGACAAACCTAAATCAATCATCGGTTAACCTCTGAGAAGAATCTCTGTTTCCAGAGTATTAACGTTGATTTTTGACAATAACCTTCAACCTGTCCGGTTCCCTACGATTTCTCGTCCATGTTGTTGGGAATCGGTCGCTTCTTCAGGATACCAAGGTCTTGAACGTTCTCCAGAAACGTTTTATGGTGTTGCACGACCAGCAACGGATTCACCGTCTGAACGTCCTTCTTCAACTCCTCCATGTCCCTCTTCAGCTTCGCCCTTCTGTTCTGGAACCAGGTGATCACCTGAGCGTTGCTCAGGCCCAGCTGAGCAGCTATCTCGTCCCTGTCCGCTGGGCTCAAATACTTCTGGTAAAGGAATCGCTTCTCCAGCTCGAAGATCTGCTGATTCGTGAAGGCCGTTCTGCTCTTACGCTTCTTCTTCGGCTGTTGCCGGTTGTTGAACAGGTTCAGATGGTTCGCTTGCTCTGCAATCAAGATTACGATCCGTGAGATTAGCATCGTTTCGGGGTATCGTTTAGGGATACTCTCTTTAGCGAGTTTCGCGGAGTTTCTCGTAGGATTCAAACATTAACAGACCGCAATTTTTTATTTGGGAAAGAAAAGGGGGATTCGCAAAGTAGCAAAGGTGGTTGAAAAAAGACTACAATTGATTAAACGATTAGATTCGACAGGATATGGATAATTCAAAGTTGAGATTCATTATAGCTCTTCAATAGGGTCATAGTTAAGACCTTCTGAATTTATGTTATATATATATTTTTTCCATGCCTCGTTGTTTCGATCAATGGAAAAGAAACAGCTCTACAGAAGCAAGTATGGGAAAATAAGGTAGAACCAATCGAATCATTGTTCAAGGTAGTTATGCTGGTCATACATGAGTTTTTATCCTCGGGATTCCGATCGAATAAGGTGTTCATAATGATTTCTACTTTGTAGCGTTGTTTAGTAACGGGTGTGGATAATGGTTGGATGACGGAGTGGCCGTCAGAACAAAAACTACGTGCCACCAAATGAATGATTAATGAGACCAAAACGAGAGAAGGCGTCGAGGCGTGAAAATTCACTCTGTTAAATAAATTTCTCGACGGTCGGATAACTTGGATAGATATTATTTACAGAGAAAATAAAAATCAGTCTGAAGTTTCAGCTTCTTCGAAGCTACAGCTTTATTTCCTCTCTAAATCCAGAGGGTTAAAACGAATATGGTCCCCTCTGCTAAGTTCGAGTAGCTTCCAGCCACAAATCAGATGCATTTTTGTGGCATGGAAGGGATCTCTCCATAAAAATCGTATTACCTATTCGTCACGGTGTTCAGTCGACGGAATTCCAGCGGCATTTCTTGCCCACCGGATGCTGAAACTTCGCTGGCTTCCACTTTAAACGAGACAATTCGGGACCACCGATCAAACGAACAATCAACCGTTTCGTATGAAAAATATTGACCAGACGTTTGCATAGTTATTTTCCTCGAACGTTAAGCTTTAAATTGGTACGCCGTGAGTGGTAATTTTCGTTACTTTTATGTCATCAAATTATCGGATGTTTTGAAAGCAGCTGTACTTTGCCGAGCGATAAAGTCGTTTGAACAGGTCATCGTCTACTTGTTCCGAGCAACATACCATTACGATCGTTTCGGCCGATCTCGCGGCAACGAGCAGAACAACCATCCCGGAAAACGTAGCGCAGTGTCGAAATTAGCGACGGCCGTTTTCGCGATGGCGTTAGCCATTAGGAAATAATCGAACGGCGACGAAAAATGAGAGGCGGCCGATGAGTCGTGGACAAGGTAGCCGAGAAGTCGCTGCAGGATCAAAGAGCGCCGCCATCGGTCACACCTGCGCAACCCGACTCAGTACAGTCTCCTCTAAAACCTACAACCAAGATGGTCCACGACCTTGCTTCTTCTCTTTATGTCATTTCTCAATGAACTGAGAGTTCTCTTTGCAACCTCGAGAATGTTTCCAAGAAATAAACTATTTTTGATTTCGAGCGATCTTTAAAGATACCAATCAAGATAATAATCAATTTGCAAAGATACAAGCTAGATTTTAGACTTTATCCCTAGAAAAATTCCCTAGACACCTGGTGCAGTAGTCGCCTTGGTCTTCGGCCAGTATATTAGCCGCTTTCGTGAAATATGTTCGCGCGTCGGCGATAAATCATTGAAGAAATCGAGGGCCGCGGAGAGGCAAATCCTAATCCACTTAATTTCTCGCAAACTGGCCTCTGAATAAATCATAAGGATATACTATATGGTTTGCGAAACATAACCCGATCGGAATACATATTTCATTCGATTTCAGAACGGATGATCGGTGTTCATTTAGGAACCCGGAACAAGGTTGATTTACAGGAAGTCACTCGAGGAAGATACTATCTCGCTAAACTTTCACCTGTTTAATATCGATGACTTTCAATCAAGTTATTCCTTATGGTAACGTTAATAAGAATTCTCAGGATCGATAAATTTATAAGCTCGCGTCTCGTTTGATCTCGGGAGACACCTTTGATTACCTTTCTAAACCGCAACCGGAAATGACTTAATTATCGACACGATCGTTCGGTGGATCGAGATGCGTCGATTTCCATTCGACGACCCGATGACTTCCGCTCGGTCCAAGGGGCGCACCCAACTCGTGAGTTCGCGGATTAACGCGTTAAAATATGATTTACGTTGATAGCTTATTAATGGCGAACATGGGAGGCCAGGGACGAATGACGCGGCTGCTTTTAACATATCCGCGGTTTAAATCGACGAAGATGCTTCGGAGTAAAGAGGAACTCGACGAAGTTAATGACGCACGACCGCGTTGCAACTTCGAATCACCGGCTATAACGTTGCAAACCGTGCATCTATCGAATAGTCGCGTCATTTTTGCGACGAGAAATTAGCGAAGAGGTGCATCATCCAAGAAGATTCTACGGTAAAAAAAATTGAATAATAATACGATGCAGTGAACGACGCCTTGGGATGAAGACGGCCTTCTATCAGACGATGTTTATAACTAGCCTCTAAGTTGTTCGGTTCTTTCAAAGGAATAACAAGAATGCACGGAGTTAATTGATCCTGTAATTAAGGGAGCATTTTGGCATCGTCATCTCATTAATCGAGCGTCAATTAATCCACTTCGGATAGCCTGCGCTTCTAAAGAGGAAGATGAAGAGAAGGAGAGTGGATCTTGGCGAAATGCAAAGTACTGCGTAATCACAAAGAAAGGTGAGAAAATCTGAGAGATGGAAGGTGGAGGAAGGGTAGTCGTGGATTGCGAAAGGACAGTCGAAGCGGCGAATTCGTGAACATCAAACGCGAATTAAATCTCCGCGGAGAGTCGACCGCAGAAACTAATATCTCTCGGTTCTCTCGGTTCGTCTCTCCTCTGCCTTTCTGCCGCCTCGACCACACTTCGCCACCATGCTTCTGGTTCCTCTTTTCGAACCCCCGAACCGATTGCCGCTGTTAAAATGGCCGAACGACGACGAAATCCTCGTCCAAGTTTTGTCATTCTAATTATAATCTGTTATGTCAAAGATCCTTGAATTCTTTATTTCTTTTAACCCTTTAGCTATTGAACTCCACTATAATGACCATTATAATGAAAATATATAAATAAATTATAATTTATTCATTTACAACTCTATTTCAATGAGATATAGTTGCGGAAAGTCCAGCCGTAGTTAAAAGATTAAAATTCAAGCAGTAAATAGTTAGTTATGACTGACGCAGTTATCGAAAAAATCATACGCGAAAGGGTTCAATTGCAAAAAGTAAATGTTTTAAATTTTTACTGACGTGTGTCTTCACATCTGTCACAAACGAGGATGTAATGTTGTCGATAAATCTTTTTCTTGTATGCAATATTTATCTTGAATAATGAATATCTTCTATAAAAACTAAAGAGCCTTGAAGCGAAAAAAGGAGATAAAAGTGGATTCGGTAGTAAATGATCGAAAGGAAATATTAAAGTTCACCGCGCAAATAATAACGATTCTTGATTGGATTATTTTATGGATTACCTAGAAAGAACAGTTTGATTGAGCTTGTCCAGAATGAAAATCGTAAAACGACTAATGACACGCGGTTACATCGAGGAATATTATCATGATTTCGCAAATGTTAAGTAAACAGGGAATGGATGATATTATAATTGTTCTATACGATATACCATTAAATGGTTTCATGGTTTTTTCATTACGATCGAACGCTGCATTCTCTTCGGCAAATAAATTCAAAAGGATAATTACGTCATTCGTTCTCGCAAAAATCACTTGCGTTCTTAATACACTCGCCAGTACGAGGGAATTGTAAGTAACATTTTTCTAGAGGAAAAAAGTGACCTCTTTTAGTCCATGTTTCTCCATCGAGCGCTTATAAAGTCGTTTACGAAGTGAATAAATTATGGAATATTACTTGAATAATTACAGATTATTCCTAATATAATATCCACTTTATAATTTGGAATTCATTATGAAACAAAGTTTCAAAGGTTTTTTCATAAATTTTAAATCAATGTTGAAATATTCTCGAATTCGCCTTTTTTATTGAAGAACGAACGACGGTTTTATCGTTCCAAAGAACGATATTCATTCGAGGAACTAACACGCGAACGGTAGTTAAGAGCGATCGCAAAGAAAGTAGAAGCGTGCATAATGCGGAATTATCGAGTGGCGGACAGGTAGGCTCCATGAACGTCATACCTAAGCCCATCGACGTGATTTTTGGAGCGAGACGAAAAACTATCCGACCGGTTAACGGCATGAATCGCGATGGAAAAGAAAGAAAGCACTCTCAGGATCCAATAAACGCGGTTCGCTCGATTGAACCGAGCACTTTCATGCTCTCATAAATTCATTGTATCGTGATAAGTGGAAAATTCGAAGGTATCTTAATCGGCCATTAGCGGATTTATTCGCTGGTCCGGTACGTTATCACCGCGCCATTCCTCAGATAAGACACAACCTCGTATACGTTTTATGTTCCTGCTTAATCGACGAGCAATGTCCCGGAAACGTAGACAGCAAAGTAACGGAAATGCTTCAAATATTAAACTCCAAGTAATTGAAATAAATTTATTCAGAGCTCCTTCGTTAGACGGTAATAAACTTGGCAATAATTTAGAAAGCTTCGAGACAGAAGTGAATTGCACAGAAAGAATATGGAATCACTTTCACAGTTACTGTGATAATGACAGTGTACTCGTTATTATAGAACTTCACCACTTGTCAGTGAACCAGATCACTGACCTTCTGACACGTGAAGAGTCTATAGAACAGTATGCCAGAATTCGAGATCAAAGAAGATCCAATTGCCACCGCATTAAATACCTGAATTGATTACTAATTTTCTTATCAGACTTCAAAGACTACCTTACATGGAACTGCATCAAAGGCCTACATCAGATATTCAAAGAAATACCTCAAAACCTATACCCCATTTCCAGGTGTAAACCATGTCCTTATGAAGTTT